ATACAATTATTATTATTATTTTCCGAATCCCTGACTGATCATTTTTAATCTAGCGCGTATTATAGTATAGATTAAATTCACCATCCAGCTGCTGCTCTGCAGAATTCTCTCCCCAAGAGCTGAATCACGCCATCTAGCAAAATATCACGTGGCTTTTTCAAATCACGCAAGAATGTGTACAAAACAACAAAGATGGCGCTGGCAATGCTTGTGGGTCGTTTTCAGCGAATGTCGGTGATTTTAAAGTAATTTTAAGTGATAAATATATATTTTTTTGCGATCATTGGACTTGCCCGGCGGGCAAATGCAATTAAATTTGTACTGTCCCGACAATAAAAACTACTTGCCCCGGGCAATCGGGCAATGGTTAACATCGAGCTTTTTCATTAAACGGATGCCTTCTCCATTAGATGTGACGAGACGTGTGGCCTGGCTGGCTCAGAGGCTGGCAGCTCCCTTTTACAGCCTTTTGTTTTCGCTAAGGCAGGAAGAAATAGAATGTCCGAGGCGAAGGTAGACAAATGTCCCCGTGCACTTAAGTTCTTTGTTTCACAGAATCGATAAGGGAATTGGAATCGTGAAAATCTTATCAATTCCAAACCCTAACAGTAGTTTTATTTTTTTCTAGTTTTGCTTTGTGTGCTTGTAAGAAAGTTACATTTTGAACTAGACATTCTTTTTCTGCATGCTTTTTATCAAATGTTTCGGGAAAAAAGATACAGCTTCTAGTCATTTCTTACACTTCAATCTTGCTGTTTTTCTAAAAAGACTTTATTCGTAGAGGCCATGACAAAGTTTTTTCTGAGAAGAATAAATAAGGCTTCTTGGCAGCTAAATTCTCTCCTTACCGCAGAGGGTGGATGAATTATTCTTTGATTGTTTAAATTTGTGCCATATGCCTTCCAAACAAAGACAGCCTCAGTCTAAATAGTGAATGATTAGTTTCTATCTATTAGAACAACGTTTTTATACTTCATCTTCACCTTTCTATCAGGTGGTCTTTACCTAAATCAATACAATGATCCACTGCCATTCAAGAAATACACTCGTAGCCTAATGTTATGGTCATGGTCACAAGCTTAGTGGTGCAGTGGGTAGCACTGGTAGCATGCGTGGGTTCTCTCCAGGTACTCCAGCCAACGGTCCAAAAACATGACTGTTAGGTTAATAGGCTTCTCTAAGGTGTGAGTGGTTGTTTTTCACTGTGTTGCCCTGCGATGGACTGGCGACCTATCCAGAGTGTAGCCTGCCTCTTGCCCATAGACAGCTGGAGATAGGCACCAGCACCCCTTGCAACCCCTCTTGAGATTAAGAGTGTCAGAAAATGGATGGATGTATATCGTCATTTAAAACAAAACGACACTCTTCACATCTAGAATAAATATTCTGGATGTCTAGAAATTAACTTCAGATCTTCATAGTTAGTTATGGGTTATCATTTTTTATTATTTTGACAATAAAGAAATATATTTCAGATATCATAAATACATATTCAGTCAATTTGATAAATGTCATATTGGCCACTTAAAATGTATAAACATGTCTAGGTATATAAGGATTAATTCTTACTATGTTTATTTTTGTTTTGCTTTAGTTTCTGAAATTCATTTTCTGCTGCAAAAATGTAATTTAGAAAATATATTATTACAGTTTAGTCTAGGAATGTGATTTTGATCAAGAAGAATCTTATTTTATTGATCTAAAAATAGAACAACAGAGTGCTTTTAATAAATGTAAAAACAACCTGCCATAGGGACTTCATATAAACATGTGTATTAATTTGAGCAACAATATTCTCCTTCACCATCTTTGTCTACACACTCTGTGTATACAAAATGACAATAAAAGTTGTTTAAGTCTAAGTCTCGCCTCGTTAGGCTGGAGTGAACTGTTAAGTGACTCTCATGGATAATCATCTTCCGTCAGATTATAGTGGTCACTTAGCTGTGTTTCTCTCTAATCTGCGGAGACTTCCAGACTAAACTTTCCCCAGACACTTACTCTAGCTCTGTTGAGTGAAGCCCAAGGTGCTCCCAGGCCATTCGACAGACATAGTACTTCCATTGTATCCTGCTGGGAAATGACTGGAACAACTGCTGAGGGATCCATCCTGGGGACATCTTAGAAAGATTTCTAAGCCACCTCAGCTGACTTCGCTCATTGTGCATGAAAGTGTCTCTACTCGGGGCTGTTATGGTTGGTAGAGCTCATTCTCTACTCCTAGATGACCAAGCTCCTCACCCTGTCTCTTAGGGAATGCGCAGCCACAAAGATAATTTCAGACCCTTCTTTTCTGGATCTCGCTTTTGATCTATACTTCACGGCCGTAGTTGAGGGTAGTAATTCCATCCAATCATTTTCTTTTGGTTTATCTGGGGCTGGGTCGCAGAGGCAGCAGTCTAAGCACAGATGCCCAGACTTCCCGATCCACACACACCTCCTCCAGCTGCTTTGGGGGGACCCCAAGGTGACACCGGGCCAGCTCAGAGACATAGTCCCTTAGGCGTGTCCTGGGCCTTCTACGACGCCTCCTCCCAATAGGACATGCCTAGAACACCTCCCGAGGGAGGCGACCAGGAGGCATACGGAACAGATACTCCAGCAACCTCAGCTGGCTCCTTTAAACAGGAAGGAGCAACCTCCCGGGTAACTTAGTCCCTCACCAGACCTCAAAGGGTGCACCCAGCCACCCTGTGAAGGAAACTCATTTCAGCTGCCTGTATTCGCAATCTTTTAGAGATGTAGAGATGATATCCTGAGGTTCCCAAACAGGACACCCACCTGTCCCTGGCTGAGCCTAGAAATTCCTGCCGGCAATGCGAACCAAGCTCCTGCTGCGGTCATACAGAGAACGGACATCCCCTAACAGAGGGCTCCACACCCCTTACTCCCGGAGTAAGGGACACGGTCAAATACCATCTCCAGATCCACAAAACACATGTGCACTGGTTGGGCAAACTCCCACAAACCCTCGAGCACCCGATGAAGGGTATAGAGCTGGTCCAATGTGCCACGAGGTTTGACTATTAGCCGGATCGTCCTCTCCAGCACCCTGGAGTAGACCGGGGAGGCTTAGGAGTGTGATCCCTCAGTAACTGGAGCAAATCCTCTGATCCCCCTCTTTAAAGAGAGGGACCACCACCCCGGTCTGCCAATCCAGGTCTACTGTCCCAGACAGCCACATTTTGCTGCAGAGACTTGTCAGCCAAGACAGTCCTACAACATCCAGAGACTGGGGCCTTGCCACAGAGAGGCTTTCTAACTACCTCTTTGACTTTGGCCTGGCTGATGGGATGAAGAAGTGGAAGACGTGACAAGGGGATTGAAGAGATCCTCAAAGTACTCCTTCCACCACTCAACAACATCCCAGTCAAGGTCAGCGGCTTCCCACCTGCACTATAAACAGTGTTGGTGAAACACTGCTTCTATATCCTAAAGCAGCAGACAGTTTGCCAGAGAGACCAGTTGCTAGAAATGTATTTAAAAAAATTAATTAAAAAATAATTGATCCCAAACAAGGTGGACTTGTAGACCAAACATTTCACTCAGTTATAATATCAGTTGGGTACAGCACATTATAGCGGCAGCTACATCAATCTGTTGATATCTTGCTCCATACTCCAAGACACTTCCACTCCTCCACTTGAGGTCCACTCCAACCAAAAGTGGACAAGCCATCTTTTTTCAGTCGAGAACCAGCATCTTAGACTTGGAGGAACTGTTTCTCATGTTGGAGACTTAGCACCTGGCTGCCAACTCCCATTGTGTATGCTATAGACATTGGCAGAAAGGAGCCAGCAGAATCACATCATATGTAAAAGCAGAAATACGGTCCCCAAATCAGACTGCCCCGGCCCTATGGCTGCGCCTACAAATCCTGTCCATAAAGGTTATAAACAGGACCAGTGGCAGAGAGCAGCTATGCCTGGTTTCAACATATACCAGGAACAGCTCTGACCTAATGCTAGAAATATGCACTACACTTCTGCCCAACCTTTACAGGGACTGAATGGTCCCTGGTAAGGGGTGCCGGATTCTGTACGCCGATTTCTGTAGTCCTTGAACAGCCCCCACTAACACCCGCACACACCCACCCCCACATTTGAACGGGTAGGGAAAACTCCATTGAACCACTGAACATCCTGAAAAATGTTCAGGAAAAATTTGCTTGAAATATATGAGATAGAAGAAGGGCAGTAAATATCAATGGGTGTCCTAGTCACTATACAGTGGTTAATACATATTTAACTGCATATGGGTACATTTACATTCTTAGTGAATAACTGTAAAACTAAATATTTTTTTAGGCACATGTGGATCGATATATTAATGTTCACATGTACAGAATTTAATTAATTTGCTCACTTAATTGACTTTAGAGTACCATGTACTCAAAAGTAAAATAGCAATCAGGAAGATTGTTGGGATTAACAACTATAGGAAGGAGAAGGGGCTTGATTAAATAGGTTTTACTTCTTCACATCCTGTTTAAGATATAAGCACTATATTATGTATATATATATAATCTTTGGATATATATAATCTTTATATGAGTAAATTTGGTAATTTTACTGGATTATCACAAATTAAGTTATTCATCCAATATTGGCAAACATGGGGTCACAAAAACACGTGAAGCCATTATGCAAAAATGTAAGTTTCTCTTAAAAAAAATTTGTTTTAGATAATCTGGAGTGAAAGAAATTAGCAAAAGGGTATCAAAAAATTAATTATAGGCCACATACTTATTCATATTTATTTTGAAAAATTATTATGCAGACAGGTTGTGTTCAGTGAATACCAGATTGTGTGCAGAGCAGCACTGAACAGTATTTAACACTTCTCATTTCATCTCCAGCACAGATTGTTTCAGTCATATTAAAACTTGAAATATTGTCTTTTATTACAGTGGTTGTTTTTAAACACATTTCATCATTCACAAAGTAAACCAATAATTAAAGCGGTGTGATCAGTGTTAAACAGCACAGTAGATTTTTTTAATGGAAACAACTACCTTGCAGAAACATCATATATGTGCCAATAACATTAAAATGTACCAAGATGTAAGGGACCGGTTCCTTGCTAAAGAGCATGTCACAGCTAAAAGGAGGCTATTCAAACACCAAACACTTCCTCAATTTCTTTCCTTTCCTACTTTATCTTAAACTTTATCCTCTCACAAATTCCTTAATTCTTTAGTTTCTTTTTTGCCTCCTGACAACTGTTAGAATGTGAATTTTATTGTGAATTTCCTCAGATGCTGTCATATAGCATTTTAATCAGAAAAACCATGAAACAGAAAGTGAACTAAATCTGAGAACCTGTGGGATATTTGATGGTTATGAACAAGAGACCAGCTCTTTCCTCCCTCAAAAGATGAAGCTCAGATAAAAAATATCTGAGGCCCATGGTTTCCAACAAAAAAAGGTCAATGGGGAAGTATGTAAGAAAATGCTTAATTTATTCTTATTAGACTGATGTACTTATTAAAGGTGTTGTGAAATGCAGCTAAAAAGAGGCAGAATAGATCAAATAACATGAGACAAAGAAGCAGAGAAGAGCAGACTGAGGTTAAAGGGAGAACAATCACGAAAAAATAGCATAAAGGTAAGAAGAAAGGCTGAAAATGAAGGGACAGATGAGGTTTGAAATGCTCATGTGATGCGTGTCCGTCTTCTTCTCTACAGGCGGAGCAGGAAATAAAAATGAAGGGTTGGAGGCACATCCATCTGTCAGTCTCTGTTAGGCTCAGCATAATTACTGTGAAATGACAGATATCCATAAATTTAAGGAGGGCAGCTAGAGGAGAAAGGTGTGTTTTTGACTCAACCTGCAAGTCAGTAACATCTACTTGTAGCCATGATAACAACTGTAATGTTGCTGTGAAAATAAAAGATTTCTCTTTTTGACGATGAAAAAAGCTCTTACTGTGTTGTCAAGTCAGTGGTTTTAATTTGCTTTCTGTGATAGTGTTTATGGGTCCAAAACCTGGATATTTTTCAAAAGGTTTAGTTGCTTAGATGTTTTCATGCTGGCTTAAGAGAAGTCCCCACAGTCTTTGATCTCACAATATAATGGTAAATTAAAAGTTTAACTTTCAGGTGTGTGGAGACAGCTTATGTAGATTGAGCATGAATTTATATTGAGAATTACTCAAGCTGCTACATGTTATGTCTCATTTGGGTACCTTAAATCTAACAGAGGAGTGCAGCAACCTGCCCACAGTTTTGCCATATACATCACACTGTTATTATCCTACAAGTCCACACATAAGTGAAACCATAACTAACACGTTACCAGGGCAGTTCTTTACCATTTGACACACAAAATCAAACACATCTTTAAGTTGTTAATGGCTAAAAACAAGTAAAAAGCTGCTTTAGCTGGAATATTAAGTAAACAACTTTGTTATTTAAAGGCTGTGCAAAACAGAATCAGACTACATATAAGCATCATCATCAAATTTAGACTCTTTACAAAACAAAAATACTCTGAGTTGTTTGTTCCATTTTCTGTTCTGTGTAGTTGTCTCTAATGCTGTGATGGTATTCATTTTTGTGGGACTGGTCCTTTAAGACAGCTGGCAGCTTGGTCAGTCACCGGGGCCAATTAGAAATGTGTCTCTTTCTCTGAAATGGTGGATACTTTTCCATCTGCTTTAAGTTTGGCATCATTGACAGCGTAAGGACTGAGGGCAGCAAGTTTGCCTCTCATTTTTAGGTCGGGGCTGGGAGTGGTCAGCTTCTTCATTCTCTGCAAACAGACAAAAACAAATAATAAATAAGTCCCTTCATACACCAAAAAAGTTCTCAATATAATAATAATAATTCCCTAGTATTCGTTAAGTAATGGATCCCAGTACCCAAATAATGTTTTAGCTGCTGTTCATTTCCCACAGTTTTACAAATCCATCAACACTGCAAAAAATGTAAATCTAAATTTCATTTTTCTTCAAATAATTGCATTTTTTTCTTAAGTGAGGAGGTAATTGAGACGCTTTACCAATGGAACAAGACAATTTACAATTAAGATAAGCCACAACAATTACAATTGCATTGTCTTATTTCAAGTGCAATTCAATTCAATTCAGTTTATTTATATAGTGCCAATTCACAACACATGTCATCTCAAGGCACGTTATAGTCCACCAGATCAAGCAGTCAAATTGATTCAAAGTTTTCTATCTAAGGAAAACAAGTTGATTGCATTGACTCATTGTCATGTCAAAAAAGACTCGACTGGAATGCAATCCCTCACACTAAGCATGCTTGTAGTGACAGTGGAGAGGAAAAACTCTTAACAGGAAGAAACCTCCAGGCTCAGTGTGAGCGGCCATCTGCCGAGGCCGACTGGGGTTTAAGGAGACAGAAGCAGAGATACAAAAAGCAACTTTAAAAGGCGGCCCCATCTAGGCAACACACAGCCAGGCAGATGAGTTTTGAGACAACTCCATCAGAGGATGAAGAGAGCACATCCAGCCAGTCAAAGTCAGAGAAACAGGACTACACTGGAAAAACAGGCCAATTTCCAACATCTATAAACAAAGATGTTGATGGCAGCAGCACAGCTGATATTTCCCTTCAGGATGGTTTCACAGCCAAACAGGAACAGACGAGGCGAAGCTACAATAAAGTGCATATTATCTACTTATCTCATTTTAAGAGTAAATATACTCATTCCATTGCCAAATCATCTAATTTACCAACTCAAATGAAAGACATATTTACTTATATCTAGATTGTTTTTGCAGTGAAGAAGAGCATGATGTAAATACTGTACGTCTCCAGATTTCTATGACAGTAAATATATTGACATCCCTGAAAGGGACTTATAAATTCTCCTAAAATAAATTAATCTTTAATCATAGATTAAAACTTTTGGACACAAACAATTGAGAAAAATAACCTTCGATTTGAGTGTTTGGAATAAACCTCCAAAAAGCTTTTCCTGTCCAATCAATAAACATAAGTATCTTGAGTTTTGGTAACACTGGGACTTAAAATAGAGGCGTAGGCCCCATTCAGATTGTCAGAAACCAATACCCCAAGTTGATTTAATTCCAGAGTTGTTAATCAAATGGTGAATATGTGGATAAACATTGCATGCCCACTGTTAGTTGGATAAATTTAAAAGCCTCTTGCAGAAAACTAAAAATGTGTCATCATTAAAAAAAAAATTATGACGTAAACATATTCATGACCAAATCAGCACATAAATGGTGGGCCATAAAAAATATCAAACTAAAAACCGATGGAAAACCAACTGCAGTTTCCATTACTGGAAAGAGAACACTGGACAACTCTGGAGTGCTTTGTCACAGATCCTTCACTCTTCTCCGCCTTGTGAAACATTAAATAAGACAAAGTGTTGCCTATTGGCACACTGAGATTATACAAAATACTAATAACAGCGGCATAAGTGATAAAGCAATGGTCAATTGTATTATAAACTAGCATCATAATAGAGGATTTTCTTGTTTTAGGACATTTAAACATCTACATCTTTGGTGATTGTAAATGTTGCCAACATGATCAAATGTGGCTAATGTTAAGTTCTAGTGAAGGTTATCTAATGTGTGTTTTTGTTACCTCAGAAAAGGTTCCAGGAGTCTTCCAGATCATCCAGATAATACCCACTGGGATACACACCATAGAGGACATGGCCATAAACCAGCCGATGCCATAGCCCCAATCGGGATAGATGTACACGTTGTTGTACTTGAGAGGTTTGTATTTAATCAGGAAGAAGAGGAAAATTCCCTGTATAAAGAAAAATACATTAATACATTGTTTGTAAATCATATTGTGTAAACTGTAAAGAAGAAAAAGATGTATATATATATATATATA